TTTTTTTCTTTTTTTTTTTTTTAGAAAATTTTTTTTTTAAAAATGCGCTTAAAAGTATAAAATAAATGTCCCCAAAATGTCATAGTTGTTACAGTCATGACTAAATACAGCGTGGGGGGGGGATGGACAATAAATGCCGTGTTCTTTGTTTCAGCTCAGTTGTAGATCTGGAAGGGGATTAAAAATTGATATGCAAGATTTGGCAATCCAAATAATAAACGGAAGGTTGTTTGTTCTTGACTTTTTTTTTTTTGGTACCCCACCCCACCCACCACCCCACCCACCACCCCACCCACCACCCCCCACACACAAAAAAAAAAGAAAATCGTATGTACATGAAACGTTTTGCACCCATCCCAATTAAAAAAAACCCACCAAAGAAATCAAATAATTGAATTGATAGTTGTGGCGATACGGGTGATGAAAAACAAACAAAAAAATGTGTCGTGGGTTTATGCTGCCAACAGTTTGGCCAGCCCAGTGGCCCCCCATAATAGCCGTCGTTCTGGGGTGCCGTGCTGCCCTCGGGCAGAGCCATGAGAATGGGGGCAAAAGAGGGCAGTCACAGCGGGTGTCAAAAAACTTCGTCAGATTGGATCTTAATACTTAATTAAAATATTAAATCCCATAATATACTTCAAAAGACGGGTGGGGGGGGGGGGGGGGGGGGGCTGGGGCGAGGACAAAACAATCATCTTTTTTACTGATCCGCCCCGAGGGCATTTTTTTCTCTATATTAAGTGGCACTGTTGTCCAGCTTCGACCCAGGTGCAGTATTTCCTCGGTAGCGAACAAACAACAGTACAAACAGAATAACATTTTTAAAAGTAGCACTTAACGGAACAGTAGTATCATAGGGAGCGGCAGAAGAATGGTGAAAACATAAATTTGGCATAACGCCAGGAATGGAAACATTATAGGAACTGCCGAACTATCACATTGAAGATACGGTGGACGATACATCCCTGTAATAATGCAACCTCTGAGTGCTATTGAAACGATATCTAGCTGGATTATTTGTGAAGAGAAATGACAAAATTATGACGATAATTCTACACGACATTGCGTGATATTTTTAAAACATTGCAGATACAATTATGCTGTTTCTGTGACTGTCAGATGGAGCGGAAACTGTTCACTGCGCTCGCCTTTGCGGAGAAATAAGACAAGAGGAATGGAAATAAGACAAGAAAGTCGTCGCTGCCAAAAGTACGGACACGCCGGTCGACAAGAGGAAAGTACGGACAAATACGGACGCAAAAATTACGGACAAGGGGGTCAAAAATACTTACTGACCGCACTTAATACGGACGTCTGGTAACTCTCCCCTAATTCCAAAAAGGAGAGCTTGAAAGCTGTGCTGTTACGTCAGTGGCTCTCAAACTCCCTAATCCCACGACCCTTTACTACTGTTCCTTTTCCTTATGTTGTGGCGACCCCTAACCACAAACGTATGTTCGTTGATACCTCACAACTCTAGAGTATATATGTTTTCGGATGGTCGTTGGCGACCCCTGTGAAGGGTCGAGCGACCCTCAAAGGGGTCGCGAACCACAGGATGAGAACCGCCGTGTTTCGCAATGGCAACAAAAGAATTGAATGTCCACATAGCTTTGTGCTGCAGCACTTAAAAACACGATAAGAGAAATGGACTTGGCTACCAATACCAACTTCACATTTACAAACGAACAATTTCATATTATCTTCAAATCGATCCTTCGTGCTCTTCGGTGCTTTCAGTTGTTTTTTGTTGTTGTTGTTTGTTGATGTTGTTGTTTTTTTCATTTAACGACGCACAGCACTTATTGACAAACCTCCTCGGAACGCTATCTGAATTTTAAAGTATAAATTACAGTTTTTTAGAATATCCTGTACAGAATGTATAATAATGATTATATGAATTCTATTGTTTCCAAAACAAATTTAGGAAAAAAAGTCCCCACCCCCAGTGATCATCAGTTGCTTATTTATTTTAAAAAATAATATTCATGAAAATCTTCGCAGCCCACCGATTATCTACTTGTCTGATTGCCTGTTTGTCTGATTGCCTGCTTGTCTGATTGCCTGCTTGTTTGATTACCTGCTTGTTTGATTACCTGCTTGTTTGATTGCCTGCTTGTTTGATTGCCTGCTTGTTTGATTACCTGCTTGTTTGATTGCCTGCTTGTTTGATTGCCTGCTTGTTTGATTGCCTGCTTGTTTGATTGCCTGCTTGTTTGATTGCCTGCTTGTTTGATTGCCTGCTTGTTTGATTGCCTGCTTGTTTGATTGCCTGCTTGTTTGATTGCCTGCTTGTCAACTTTTAGGTGTTTTTTTTGAGGGGGGGGGGGATACACAACAAAAAAATTATGCTGCTTGCTTTCTGAAACATGACGTCCCTATTATGTCGTGGCGAGACAGATTAAACACACTGTCCCATTTGGACATTACGGTTTTAAGTGCACAATAACAAGGGGCTCTCTATCATGAACTGTTTAAACTAGATTGCCTCCCCTGATAAGACCATTTAGAAGACCTTAAGTTTACGCCAATCCACGGCTTTAGGTTTAACTTACATTCACTAGTTTTCCGTTTAGATGAATGATGGCAGTATTTATATAGAGTCAGTGGCGTAGCAAGGGGAGTGCGGGGGATGTGGACCGCAACGGGTGACACTATCCCAGGGGTTGACACCAAATGGAGAAAAAAAATGCATATTTACAGAGCATAAACTGATCTAATCGGATTTAAGCAAAGGTAAACCGATCACACTTAAATTTTTCACACATATAACCAGTCCAAATGCGTACTTTATTTTCAATTCGAGGATGATGCGTTAGAAATGAAGTGACGCTATAATAGTATTTTGTCGATTCGTCACTAGAACTGCCCCCTTAACATTTGAGGATGATTGTCCTTCAGCGCAATGTCTTTTACATGCTGTCTGCAATTATACGTTTATTTGCTACCTTTTCAGTTGGGCTGTTTTACTTGATTGAAGTTAATCTTGCACAGAGGATCTGCAGACTAAAGGCTTTACTCTTGAACAAGGGGTGACCAGCCTAGAGAAATTAAGATTGTTTCTGTATGAGAAGCACTGTCACTTTGTGGACCGTGCCATTAAAAGTCACATTTAACATCAGACCAATATAAAAATTTCAGTAAATAGAAGATTAAGGTTTAAGAAAGAGATACTGGAGTGTATTGTTTACTTTAATTCTACTCCCCAGATGAGATTATCAGCGATCAATGAAGTATCAGACATGTTTTAGGCCAGGGGTTGCCAACCTTTTCAGCAAGCGGGCCAAATTTCAGAAATAATATTTCCTGCCGAAGCCACGCACCTAATTTTTGTTTATTTGTTAATTAAAGTAAACATTCAAGCGTGCTACAGCTTTGACCGTTTCGTTGCTTCCCAGTAGATGAGATCGTGAAGAAACGCCTGCCTGGTTAAATGTAAAAAGAAACACAAGTAATAGGAATATTTTTTTTTGGTAGAAGAAAAAAACATAACTGAGAATCAAACACATTCATAAGTCAATTATAACATAGTTATAAGTTAGACGTCTGACTTTGTCTTGCAGAAAGAAAATTGCATGAACCTCAATCTCGACTGATGTTGTCGCTGCATGCAAACATCTTTCCAAATAAACATTGTGCGTCATACGACTAAAAAGCTGTTCGCACGCATAAGTGTTTCCAAATATCGAGAACATCAACAGAGCATGATTATCAATCGCAGGATATTGATCCTTGTCCAAATACGCCTTATACAATTCTGTCAAACCAAATTGATGGAATTTCTCCTTTAACTGTGCATCACAACGAATTTCACAATTTTCCATTTGTAACCTTCCTGGTAATAAATTCACTTCCACCGCGAATGACGTTGCAAATGCACAATAAAGCAAATGATTTTTTTTTTTTTTGAAACTCCTGAAATCGATTTTCAAATCCTGAGGTTTAAGTCAGATATCAGAGAAGCGTATTTATCCCCTACGTCATTTGTGAAGTCGAAAATGGGATTCAATGTCGTTGTAAATGAATCTAACAAATCTCGTGACATAGTAGTGTCCCTAAGTGGATACAGTGCAGCGAATTCTTTAGTCTTCTTAAAATGGACATCATCACCCCTGATAAAAATTGCCAGTTGGGCAGTATCTGCCATAGGTGTGCTTTCCTCAAATGCTAGAGCATAAAATAAAAACTCGGATGCCCGACTTTTCAACTAGCTTCAATATGTTTTCCAATGTCGTCCACCCGCCTAGTGATAGTCTGACGAGACAGATTTAATTTTGAGAAATCCTTCCTCTATTCTGGACACAGAATTTCAATTCACAAGCTAAATAAGGCTTCGATTTTTTTTTTTGCTAGTATCATGACTACTGCATAAGTAGCTTTTACATAGCATGTTGACTCTTACCCGCTCTAGTAAATATCTTTTGCTGTGGATAATTTTTTTTTTAAAGTCATATGCTTGGTCTCCTTGAAATTTCCATTTGTACTTTTTTATTATTATTATTAGTGTTGGTTTTATATGGCGCGGTACTTGAGCCTATGGCTTGGCTCACCACGCTGTGCATACAATTTAACAAGCGTAATCATGAACTTATCAAACTTGTATACATGTTTAGTCTTGTAGTGACGTTTGATGGTATACTCTTTTAAAACAGAAACAGATTCGTTTCATATCAAGCAGATGGGCTTTGTTTTAATTGACACGAAAATATTTTTGGTCCACCTGTATCAAAAACATGTTTTTATTTTTTTAATTTTTAAAACAAATGAATTTTTCAAAAAATGGGAGATATTTCAGATGCCCCATTGCTCGCAGGTGGATATTCGAGTCTCCTGGTTTGTGCTGTAACGCTGGTAAAGTTTATAAGCAGCTTACCCCACTTCTGGAGTTAGCCACTTACCCCACTGCTGGTGTTAGCAGCTTACCCCACTGCTGTTGTTAGCCACTTACCCCTTTGCTGGTTTTAGCTACTTACCCCACAGCTGGTGTTAGCTACTTACCCCACTGCTGGTGTTAGCCACTTACCCCACTTCTGGAGTTAGCCACTTACCCCACTGCTGTTGTTAGCCACCTACCCAACTGCTGGAGTTAGTCTCCGAGTCATCTACGAACAAGAGCAGGAGACTTTAATTCGACCTTTCAACAATTATTTGTTCAACATTTGTGTCCGGGTTTGGGCCCGGGGGGGGGGGGGGGGGGGGGGGGGGGGGAAGAAGGTTGATTATGGGGGAACCACGGCTACACAACTGGATCAACATTTAGACTTTCGAGATTGGACCACGACCTATTAATTAACAATTTTTTTTTCAAACCGAGATCTCATGAATTCATAATTAACTTAACGTGGGTAAGTTGGCGTGAACAAGAGACCGCATTGCAAGCCTCCACAGAGTCAAACCGCTCTGTTTGAAGCCTTTTGTCAAATGTTAAGCACTGCCTGGCGAAATGGACGGCGATGATGTGTCATGTGCAACTAATTTGACATCAACACACGTGCGCGGTACTCACTCAGTGATAGCCACCAAAGATATAAACAGCAGGATTTCAGTGGGGTTTTTTTTTTGTTTTTTTGGGGGGGTTCTTTATGATTTTTTGTTTGTTTGTTCGTTTGTTGTTTTAGTTTTTGGAGGAGTTTGGGGTGAAGTTTTTTTGGCGAAAAAATAATGAGGGTAGGCTGGAGCTCGTTGAGATACTAGTACACTCATTTTGTGTTTTATTGATGTTCGTCTGTGGTAGAAATGAGTCTCAGGCAATAGATATTTATGCATTGTTCTGTGCCAGTTAAAAGTTCAAATTTTCTAAATGTGTTAGCTGCCCTCGTGTCATGATCCACGCTTATACACTTATCATTATTTCATTATGATCGATAGATACTAATAATAATAATAATAATAATAATAATAAAGTTTATTTCAAAAACAAGCTTCATCCCCAAAGGCTTGAAGCACGGTAGAAAGTCACACAAAAAAATTTCGATAAACATTTCTATCTATCATAAGAGTCACTCAACTTCTTTCACATACACCCCCCCCCCGCCACTTTCCCCAACCAACCAACCAAAAAAACAACAACAACACCTTATATGTTTAGAATTCTTCCTATCGAATGTAAAAGAAAATAAAAAAGGTCTGATGTAGATGATCAGCATTGCGACATCTTATTCTGATAGCGTTTAATGCCTCATTTTAGATGATGCTATTGCCTGTGTTAAGTTACACTCAGCACCCACGGTGACCTGCCCGTGACCGCTAAATCCACCCCAGCCATGGGAATAGGGAAATATGATGATCTCATCATTGTGAGAGTCGTTTGTTCTCTTACTCATTATTATCATTACTGCAATCCACGCCGTGGACAATTATAGAGCTAGCAGTAAAGTTCGCATTTTTTTTATATTATATGTACTGGATGGAATATGGCTCATTAATGGACCTTATATGTAGCACTATTATTATCTCCTGTACGGACGGACGGTATGTGTCCTGCAGGGAAATAATCTATGTGAGAAGAAATAATTTATTAGTTGCTTCCCTTTACAGCTCTAGACTGTGATTGCAACTAGTCAATTTAGATGTTTGTTAACTTAAAAATAACGTTTTTTCTAATTTTTGTGAGAAGATTAATTCTTATTAAGTTATTTTCGTTATTTATAAGGGAGTATTTCAATAAAAAATTAGTGTAATTTAATATGGGAGTAAAAAATCATATATAAATGTACGCTATAAATGCAAGTATAATTATGTCACGAACAATCACAAGAAATTACAACAATAAAGTGGTGTATGGCTATTTTATGGAGGGGTGTTACCTCTGATTGTGCAGCAGTCGTACCCCTTTGGGGTAGCTAATCAATCGTTGATCTCGTTATCGTACTCTGCTTTCACATGTGGCTCCGAGAAACTGTAGCATGCACAGCACCCACACCATGAAAACCAGTTTCGACAAGCCGACAAAAGCAGTTAGAGCGTAGCCGAACCACTTTAAGTCTTCTGTAATCAAGAGCTTGTCCCCCAACAGCGAGCGTCGACTGTTTCCTGAGTGTTGCTCGGAGGAACCACTGGTTGGTCAAGAGACGTGATATGAATCGCTCAGAGCATGGCAACACACGGAGATCGCCTCGGTCGTTCACTGAACCCAATCCCGTTCCCAGCCGCCCAAACTGGTCTTGCTGCTGGACGCAGTTGAGAGAGTGAAGACGGGAGGGTGGGGGGTGATGATTTGCGTAACTCTTCCTCGTGTAAAGCCAAGTCATGGCTAAAGTCATTTTAAACATCCATCCATCGAGTCACCTTAGGTTGTTTTTTTACCCATCATCTACAATCTAAAAAGTCATGTGGCGATGGGTAAGCGGCGAATTGGCAAGTTTGGGTACACTGGCATTTGGGAGTAAACTGAAAGGTGTGAATAAACTGACAGGTGTGTGTAAACTGGAAGGTGGGAGTAAACTGAAAGGTGTGGGTAGACTGACAGGTGTGGGTAAACTGGCAGGTGGGAGTAAACTGAAAGGTGTGGGTAAACTGGCAGGTGTGGGTAAACTGGCAGATGTGAGTACAATGGCAGGTGTGGGCACAATGACAGGGGTGACCGTCTTGATTTGTTTTCTTGGCCATATAAAAATATGTGACTACCTTGATGTGTCCTGTGGGCTTTATAAAAATATGTGACGGTCTTGTTTTGTCTTGTGGGCCGTTGTTTGCCACCATATGTATCAAAACAAAGGCCACCTTTGATAAAAGACTCTGGCCGCGTCAATGTGGCAGGATCCTAGTTTGACCCAGGTCCACGTGGCAGGACCCTAGTTTGACGCAGGTCCACGTCGCCGTAGCCAAGTTGGACCAAGGTCCACGTGGCAGTAGCCTAGTTTGACCAAGGTCCACGTAACAGACCCTAATTTGACACAGGTCCACGTAACAGTAGCCTAGTCTGACACAGGTCAACGTGGCAGTAAACTAGTTTTACCCAGGTCCATGTGGAAGTAGACTAGTTTGTCCCAGGTCAACGTGGTAATAGCCTAGTTTGACACCGGTCCACGTGGCAGAAGCATAGTTCGACCCAATTCCACATGGCAGTAGCCTAGATTGACCCAGGTCAAAGTGGCAGTTGCCTAATTTTAACCTGGTCCCCGTGGTAGTAGCCTACCTATACCCTGTTCAACGTGGCAGTAGCCTATTTTGACCCAGGTCCACGTCGTATTAGCCTAGTTTGACTCAGGTCCACATGGCAGTAGCCTAGTTTGACCCAGGTCCACATGGGGGTAGCCATGTTTGACCCTGTTCCATGTGGCAGTAGCCTAGTTTAACCCTGGTCCACGTGGTAGTAGACTAGTTTGACCAGGTTCACTTGGTATAGCCAGGTTTGAACCTGGTCCATGTGGCAGTAGCCTAGTTTGACCCAGGTCCACATGATAGTAGCCATGTTTGACCCTGGTCCATGTGGCAGCAGCCTAGTTTGACCCTGGTCCACGTGGTAGTAGACTAGTTTGACCCAGGTTCACTTTGCAGTAGCCTAGTTTTACCATGTTCAGCGTCGCAGTAGCCTAGTTTGACTCAGATCCACGTGGCAGTAGCCTAGTTTTACCCAGGTCCACGTGGCAGTAGCCTAGTTTGACCCTGGTCCACGTGGCAATAGCCTAGTTGAATCCAGGTCCACGTGGCAGTAGCCTATTTTGACCCAGGTCCACGTGGCAGTAGCCTAGTTTGACCCAGGTCCAAGTGGCAGTAGCTTAGTTTGATCCAGGTCCACATTGCAGTAGCCTAGTTTGACCCAGGTCTACGTGGCAGTAGACTAGTTTGACCCAGGTCCACGTAGTAGTAGCCTAGTGTGACCCTGGTCCACGTTGAAGTAGCCTATTTTGACAATGGCCCACGTGGCAGTAGCCTTGTTTGACCCCAGGTCCATGTGGCAGTAGCATAGTTTGACCCTTTTCGTCGTGGTAGTAGCCTAGTTTGAACCCTGGTCCACGTAGTAGTAGCCTAGTTTTACAAAGTTTCACATGGCAGTAGCCTAGTTTGACCCTGTTCAACGTTGTAGTAGCCTAGTTTTACCCTGGTCCATGTGGAAGTATTAAAGTTTGACCCTGGTCCAGGTGGTAATAGCCTAGTTTGACCCAGGTCTACTTGGTAATAGCCTAGTTTTTTCGAGGTTGACGTGATAGTAGCCTAGTTTGACCCTGGTCCACATGGCAGTAGCCTAGTTTGACACAGTTCCAC